AAATCCCAAATTCCCCAAATCCCAAATCCCCAATTCCCAAATTCCCCAATCCCAAATTCCCCCAATCCCAAATTCCCAAATCCCAAATTCCCAAATCCCAAATTCCCCAAATTCCCAAATTCCCAAATCCCAAATTCCCAAATTCCCCCAATCCCAAATCTCCGGAATCCCAACCCCCCATCCCCAAATCCCCAATCCCCCATCCCGAATTCCCACTGCCATTCCCGGATTTCCCGGCATTCCCGTTTTTCCCCAGGGAAGCAGTTGGTTCCCTGCACGGTCCAGCCCCTTTTCCTGGTGGATTCCAGCGCCGTCGACGTCGGATCCGGGGATCTTCCCATCTTTTTCGAGCTGGGGGAGGGGCCCTGCTTCCCGGACGAGTATCCCGAGGAATATCCCGAGGAATATCCCGAGGAATATCCCGAGGATCCCGCGCTGCTCCCGCGGCCGCCCACGCCCCGCGACCCGGCCGTGTCCTAAAACAAAACAAAACCCGGGATCGAGGACAAGGGATTGGATCCCCGGGAAAAAAAAAAAATCCGGGGGAAAAAAAAGGATTCCCGGGAAAAAAAAAATCCTGGGAAAAGAAATCCTGGAAAAAAAGGATTCCCGGGAAAAAAAAATAATCCCGGAACAAAAAAAAAAGGATTCCCGGGAAAAGAAAGGATTTGGGAAAAGGATTCCCGGGAAAAGGGAAGGAAGCTTCGCACAAAATCCCGGAGGCGCCGCTCTCCCGGCCCGGAGCGGAATTCCGGGGATCCCGGGGGATCTTGGAGAGTCACGAGGGATTCCGGAGGATTCCGGGAAATGCTGGAGGATCCCAGAGGATTCCAGAAAATTCTGGTGAATTCCAGAGGGTTCCAGGAAATCCCAGCGGGTCCCAGAATGTCACGAGGGATTCCTGAGGACCCCAGAGGATCCCAGAAAATTCCAGAGGATCCCAGAAAATCCTGGGGGGGGGTTTCCAGAACATCCTGGAAAATTCCAGAAGATCCCAGAAAATCCCAGAGGATCCCAGAAAATCCTGGATGATCCCAGAGGATTCCCTCGGTTCCTGAGGCGTTCCCAAATCCCAAAGTTCCTGGAGTCGGGGCCGGATCCCACCCGAGGTTCCCGGGAAAAGCGGGATCTGCCCAAATCCCGGGATATCCCGGAAAACCCGGAATGCGGCGGGGTCCCGAAATTCTGGGAGGCGGAAATCCCAGGAATTCCGGCCCCCAGTCCCGGTGGGATCCCGGAATTCCATTCCCGGAATTCCACAGCGCTCCCAAACCCGGCCAGCGCCGCAGGGATTCCCAGAATTCCTGGGGATCCCAAAAATCCCATGGGATCCCAAAATCTCGACGGGATTCCAAAGTTTTCAGGGATTCCAGAATTCCGGGGAATTCCAAAAATCCAACAGGATCCCAAAAATCCCAGGGAATCCCAAGGGGATCCCAAAAATGCGGTGGGATCGCAGCTCCTGCTCCGGGCGCTCCCGGGTTTTATTCCTTGAATCCCTCTGGGGGGATCTTGCTGGAATTCCGGGAGAATCCTGCCGGAATTCCGGGAGAATCCCGCCGGAATTCCAGGGGATTCCCATTGGAATTTTGGGAGAATCCTGCAGGAATTCCAGAGGAATCCCAGGAAAACCTTGTTGGAGTTCCAGGGGAATCCTGCTGGAATTCTGGGAGAATCCCGGTGGAATTTTGAGGGAATCCTGCCGGAATTTTAGGGGAATCCCCCTGGAATTGTGGGAAAATCCCACTGGAATTTGGGGAGAATCCCGCTGGAATTCTGGTGGAATTCCAGAGAAACCTCACTGGAATTTTTGGGAGAATCCCGCTGGAATTCTGGTGGAATTCCAGAGAAACCTCACTGGAATTTTTGGGAGAATCCCGCTGGAATTCCGGAGGAATCCCGCCGGAATTCCGCGCGCTCCCGGATTTTCCGGCTCCGCTCCGGGATTTATTCCCGACCTTTGGGATTGGGAACAGAACTCGGGATTTTCACACGGGAGAAGGACCCGGATCCCAGACGGGAACGAGGCGGAATTCCCGACGGGAACCAAATCCGGATCCCGGACGGGAACGTCGTGGGAACGCCGGAATTCCATGTGGGAACGCCCAGATCTCGTGTGGGGACGTCGGAATTCCGTACGGGAATGTCGGGACCCGGCAGGAATGCGTCGGAATTCCGTACGGGAATGTCGGGACCCGGCAGGAATGCGTCGGAATTCCGCGTGGGAACGTGGGGATCCAGGGGGAATGTGTCGGAATTCCGCGTGGGAACGTCGAAGCTCTCTCGTGTGAGGACATGGGAATTCCACGTGGGAATGTCCAGATCCCTTGTGGGAACGTCAGAATTCCATGTGGAAATGTTGGGATCCCGCGTGGGAACGTCGGGATCCTGTGGGAACGTCGGGATCCTGTGGGAACGTCGGGATCCTGTGGGAACGTCGGGATCCTGTGCGAGAACACCGAAATTCCACGTGGGAACGTGGGGATCCGGCGGGAATGTGTCGGGATCCCGCGTGGGAACATCGGGATCCAGCGGGAATCTGTCGGGATCCCGTGTGGGAACGTCGGGATCCGGCGGGAATGTGTCGGGATCCCGCGTGGGAATGTCGGGATCCGGCGGGAATCTGTCGGAATCCCGCGTGGGAACGTCGGGATCCGGCGGGAATGTGTCGGGATCCAATGGGAATATCAAGATCCCGTGTGGGGACGTCGGAATTCCACGTGGGAATGTGGGGATCCCGTGTGGGGACATCGGGACCTTGTGGGAACGTCAGAATTCCACTTGGGAACGGCGGGATCCGGCGGGAACGGCGGGATCCGGACAGAGAATCCCGATAAAATCTCGGCTCCGCCGCTTCCGGCCTGATCCCTCATCCCGGGGGGGCTGGGGAGGGGGGGTGGGGATCAGGGAACGGGAACTGGGATTTGGGGTTGGGAATTGGGAACTGGGAACCGGGAACGGGTTTGGGATCCGGGAACAGGAACTGGGATCTGGGGTTGGGAACTGGGATTTGGGAACTGGGATTTGGGATCCGGGAAGTGGGATTTGGGGTTGGGAACTGGGATTTGGGATTTGGGATTGGGAATGGAATGTTGGGAATGGATTTGGGAATGGGGGATTGGGATTTGGGATTGGGATTCGGGATTGGATTTGGGATTGGATTTGGG